AAAGAAAGAAAGAAAGAAAGAAAGAAAGAAAGAAAGAAAGAAAGAAAAATTCAAGGCTACCCTCAGCTATGTAGTGAGTCCAAGGCTGATCTGAGCTACATAAAATGCTATCTCAATGGACCAAGGAGATAGCTCACTCAGCAAAGAGCTGGGCTTGTAAGCACAAAGACCCCAGTCTGATCCCCAGCACCCACAAAAACTGCTGAGCACTGCGACACACATCTGTAATCCCAGCACCAGAGAAGCAAACTTGGGGTCTGTTGGCCAGTCAGTCAAGCCAAACCAGTAAGCTTCAAGCTCAGCTGAGTCCAGGTTTTGAAACGGAAGCCTGGTCTCAAAAAACAAGCTGGAGAGCAATGGAGAGAGACAGTGTTAGCCTCTGGTCATCACACAAATGAGTGTTTGCGCACCAAGGCACACGCTCAATTTGTTCTCAACAGTCTTTAAACTTATCGTGATCTGGGGTGATTAGAACCTCTGTTTTCACCCATTCTGCATCAGATCGGGCTTTGTTTCCTCTAAGATGCTACAAAACTCTTGGCCACTGAGCTTCCGGCCACACACCAAAGGTGGTCCCTTCCATAGCAAGGGGAACTTGGAGAGGGGATGAGCTCCCCATCTCTAGGAGCAGGCAAGTAGAGTCTTGTGAAGGCAACTGGAGAAAGGCTGGAATACCTTTCAGAAGCTGACCCACCGTGGGTCACAGAATCCATTGCCTAGCTAGAGGGGGTTGATCCACAAGCCGCACCCCTGAACTCCTGGGGTCCCGAGTCCTTTGCTCTTGCCCACGGATCATGCGCATGACCCTCTTCTGCATGTTCTGGACCCACAGAAAATCACAGAGCGGTTCTTCCGCAATCCAGAGAAGCTTGCGGATGAAGACGTTGCCGAGCGCGTGTTTCTGATCCAGGAGGAGCGCATCCAGCTCCGCTACCACTGCCGCGATGACTACATCACCGCCTCCAAGCGGGAGTTCCTGCGGCACATGGAGGTGGACAGCAAAGGCAACAAGATCATCATGACTCCCGACATGTGCATCAGCTTCGAGGTGGGTTGGTGGCTGCGTGCCACAGGGGACGGTGGGCGCACTCCGGAAACTATGCCAGCAGAGTCTTCTGGCAACTTGGGAAAGCTCAGGTGGGTCCCCGCCCCCACTCCCACCCCAGCCCATCTTAAAGGCTCCACTGGGAAACCCATCTCCGTCCTTGGTAACGTGCAAAAGCTCCCACCTGAAGCCCTTTCCCTTGCAGCTCCTCTGAAACAAATCATCCTGTTTCCACCGAAATGAGAATACAGCAGGCTGAGACTTCCTCATGGTCCCCGCCTGCACCTCTGGGAAGCCTAGAACCCAGATCCCAGGGACCCAACCTAGGGGTGGCAGGATATTCTTATGTCTTCGAATCTAGAATGGTCTCACCTTCCTATTCTAATTAGCACAACCCTAAGCCTCTGCATCTTTCTTTGGGCCCTCTTTGTTACTGTGATTTCCTGGAGAAGAATGCTGAGGTCTGGAGAGGTTAAGCACCTTGCTGGAGGTCACAGTTAGAAAAAGGCAATAGATTTAAACCAAGTGGTCCCTAGACCTGAGCAGATGCAGTCTCTCCATCACTGTGGCGGTTCTGGTCCCAGGTGGAGCCAATGGAGCACACCAAGAAACTTCTCTACCAGTATGAGACCATGATTCACCTGAAGCAAGAAGAAAAGCTGTCCCGACATCAGGCCTGGGAGTCAGAGCTCGAGGTAAGGTCCTACCAGAGAGAGGATGTAGCAGGGAGATGGGGGGGTTCTTAGCTGTGCATATCCTCCATTTTGTGCAATCAAGGTGCTGGAGATCTTGAAGCTTCGGGAAGAGGAGGATGAGGCGCATAATCTGACCGTTTCCATCTATGATACCAAACGCAATGAGAAGAGCAAGGAGTATCGGGAGGCCATGGTGAGCCTCTCTGCTGCTTCTGAGTCTCCTTCCCTTGGAGCCTGGCCTCCAGGGTAGGGAGAACATGAGGACCCTTTGTAAGGGGCGATGTCACTGGTGACAGCAGGTGAATACTCTTGTTGACTCTAACCTGCCAAATGGACTGTGTTGATGTGTCACCCCAAAGAGCACTTAAGATCCAGGTGTACTTATCCAGGACTATGGTCAAATGAAAGCCTACCTTGCATAGGGAAAGAATGAAAACCACATGTCCACCTCCATCAGGGTTTCCACTGAGGCTGTGACCTGAGCTCAGAATCCAGGCACAGGCCCAAGTTGAGCAGCAGGACTCAGCAACACAGGGCTTTGGCTTAACCCCCTCCCCCAACTGGGAAGCCCCATTTGGGTTCCTAGGCTCTCTTCTAGATCCTCTTCACCATGAAGTGCAGATAAAGCAGTTTAGAGTTGGCCTGGCAAGGCTGGGCTTTGGATCGTTCTTGGATCCATAGAGAAGGACAACAGCCCATGTCTCCAGTTGCTCTGGCTCCTGTGTGCCCCATGTAGGGCCTTGTGGGCAAAAGAGGAAACTGATGGGGGCTCAGCATCATTGCTAACCCGCCACCATTCACTGTAAACACCTGCTGTGGAACTGTTGGGCCTGAGCGCTGTGCTTTCCAGACTTGAGCTGGTCTGTTTTCAGAGGAGGAAACTGAGGCTCAAACTGACAGATGCATTCAAATCAGAAACAGGAATTACATGTCACCCTTAAACATGGGTCAAGAGGCAATCCTCTCTCATAGGAACAATGCTGGGACCTGGGTCTGGGACCTTGTTCTGTGCTCTCGCACCATGGACTCAGCTGCCCCTGCAGGTCTCCTGGAGGTCCTGCTCTCTCAGCTGGTTCCTTGGCCCACAGGAGCGTGTCATGCATGAGGAGCACATGCGGCAGGTGGAGACCCAGCTGGACTACCTGGCCCCGTTCCTGGCACAGCTCCCTCCAGGCGAGAAGCTAACACGCTGGCAGGCGCTGCGTCTCAAGGACGAGTGTCTCAGCGACTTCAAGCAGCGCCTCATCGACAAGGCTAACCTCATCCAGGCTCGCTTTGAGAAGGTGCGGCACAGGCCCAGGCCTGGGCAGGGGAGGTGACCTCACCATCCTCAGCCAGAAAATGGGTCCTGAAGTCTTTGCTCAGTGCCTCACAGATCTGTGAGAGACGGGTGGTTGGAGAGTGTCTGTAACTTCCTGATTTTCTTCTCCCCCCATTGTTCCTGGGTAAATGGGTGGATGGTGGCTCGATGAGCATGCATGGATAGGTGGGTAGATGGGTGAGTGGACTAGGTGGGGGGATGGTGGGTGTGTGCAACGGATGTGTGGGTAGATGGATGTGGCTGAGGATTAAGGGTGGGATACGGATGGATGGGTGAGAGGGTGGATGAACGGGTGGGCAGACAGAGGGGTGGAGGAATGGGTGGGCGTGTTTGTGTGCAGCTGGACTGAGGGATGGTGCTATAGCGCAGCTCCTAGTCCTTGGCCCACTGCTGAGATAGCTGAGGTACACACCACGAGATCCCCCTGCAGCAGCTTGGACTTCACAGAGTTCGCAGAGCAGAGCTGGGTGGGGTGGGACACAATAATTCTTATTTTTTTAAGACAAGTGGTGCCTCTCAGCACATTAGCAACTTGTCTGGGTCATGTGGCTATGTGGTCATGTGTGTCTGGGTATTTTGTCTGCACGTGTGTAGACACCATGGTCATGCCTAGTGCCCTCAGACGCCAGCAAAGGTCATCAGATCCTCTGGGGCTGGAATTCCAAATGATTATGCGCCTCCATGTGAGTTTTGGGAATCAAACCCTAGTCCTCTGGAGAGCACTGAGCGCCCTGCATTGTTTTTTGAGAAGGGGTCTCCCTCTGTAGCCCTAGCTGGCCTAGAACTTGCTGTGTAAATGAGACTGACCTTAAGTTCACAAAGACCCACCTGCCTCTGCCTAATGAGAGCTGGGGTTAGGGTGTGCCCCAGCACACCCAGCTGTTTTGATTTTGTCTATGAAGAGTTAGGGGAAGAGCCCAGGACTGCGAACTAAAGCACACTCCTGGCCCCGGCTGGCTGTTTCGACCCTGTTCTGATTGCATGCACACGCTGTCTTTCAAATCATGACTCCAGCAGCTCCCACTCAAGATAGGCTTGTGATCCTCTAACTGTTCCATGTCGTGCGGGTTGGGGGTGGCTATGTAATCCTCTTGGGGATGCCTGGTCATCGATGGGCCTACGGCCTGGCTGCGGACCAGTTCACACATTCCATATGCTCACCCCCCTATGCTTCCAGGAGACCCAGGAGCTGCAGAAGAAGCAGCAGTGGTACCAGGAGAACCAGGTAACCTTAACGCCGGAGGAAGAAGACCTGTACCTGAGCTACTGCTCTCAGGCCATGTTCCGTATCCGCATCTTAGAACAGCGGCTCAATCGGTAAGGGGCACAGCCGGGAGGACTCCTGGGAGCACTCCGATCGCCTGGCCATCCCTCACCTTCTCCTTCCTCACTCTGCTCAGGCACAAAGAGCTGGCTCCACTGAAGTACCTGGCGCTGGAGGAGAAGCTCTACAAGGACCCACGCTTGGTAGACTTTGTCAAAGTCTTTGTTTAATGGCCCCTCATGGGACCACAGCAGGCGCTGCCAGAGAACAGAATCCCACCCTTCTCCCCAGCCACTGTGACCCCACACCAGCCTCACTGCCACCCCGGATCCCTACCCCTCCTACTCTCCCTCAAATAAACATACTTCCTATTTGTCATTTATGCTTCAGTCATCACAAACCCCAGTCCCCACCACCACAAGTCTTTCCTCTGTCATCCTCCCTGCTGGAATATCAAGTGTTTACCACCTGCAGATGGTCCCAGGGCCTCCTGCCAACCTCTGCTTAGAGCTCAGTGTGTTGATGGCGGGCCAGCTCATAAAGTGGGAAAGGCCCGGCTAAAGTAGCACACCCAGGACCAGGTGTTGTGGTTAGAGGACAAGGGACTGAATCCAGGTTATTTACTACCTGTGAAATGGGGCTGGCATTGTTTCCCCAAATAAGTCTTAGAAAGCAGAGAAAGTTTGGCATAGCAGAGCATGCCTGTAATCCCAGCAGGTGGTGGAGGCAGAAGGATCTGCGTTCAAAATCTGCCTTGGCTACTTAGGGAATTTGAAGACAGCCTGGGCTGAGACTCTCTTAAAAAAAAAAAAAAAGTACAGAAAAACTTGTCAGTCGTCTCAAGGGCATGATGATACAGCCCTTGTAAAAGATCTCACTGCAGCTGTGGTTGCCTGTGCAAACCTGGGCCAGTGAACAGGCAGTCACGGATCAGGAAGGGACTTAGAGGGGCCCTGCTGCTCTATGTTGAACTACTGACTACTGATGAAATCTGGAGGAGGGGCAGTCATTGTCTTTACTCAAAGGTGAGCCCACCAGGCAGGCTTCAATGCATAGCTCCAAAGCCATGATTAAAAACTAGGCTCATGCCACATGTGGTGGTCCATGCCTTTAATCCCAGCTCTAGATCTCTGTCAGTTCAAGGACAGCCTAATCTACAAAGTGAGATCCTGATACAGAAAGAGGAGAGAGGAGGGGTGGAAATAGGATGAACTTGGAAGAGCCAAGCAGGCCAAGAATGCTGCATCTTGTCTGGTTCCTAGTTAAGATCGATCCACAGTGTACAGAAGTCCCACACTATCACTACGGATTCTACTCTGTCATTCTCCACCTTATTCCCTTGAGTCAGGGTCTCTCACTGAGCCTGTAGTTTGGGATGACAAACAAGAATCCCCAGCAATCCTCTTGTCTCTGCTCCATACAGCACTGGGGTTACATGGGTGCTGAGGATTTGAACTCAGGTCCTCATTCTTACACTGCAATCGTTCTTACCCACTGAGCCGCTTCTCTTGCTTCTAGGAAGTTTTTATTTCTAGTGTTGGGGTTTGAACCTAGTACCTCCTGCATACCAGTCAAGGCGCTCTACCACTGAGCTACATTCCCATATCAGGGATGACTAAGGTCATTTTAATGTAGTCTGCACGATCTTCGAGGAGTAGGTCACCTGAGGGGTGGTGACACTGGTTATGTAGCTAAGGGCTCTTAAAGAACTTCATGCTTGGTGTTGTCGTCATTGAAATGTCTTGGGATCGGTTATGTTCAAATAGTTGCACATAGACAAAGCAGATAGGGCAAAATGTGTCAAAATCAAGAATTTGACCATTTTTATAACGAAAAGCGGAGGGAACAGCAAGAGACAAAGTTGTGATCGAATGTTATTCTCCGAATCCGGCTCTCTTAATAATTCCCAAGGGCAGACTTGTCTTCTGGAGAGGTTTTGCGCTTAAGTAGGGGCTTCGCATGCTTTGACTTTAAGAACAAAGGTTCACATCCTGGGACCGTTCTTCCAGGTGTTTCTTTTCACCACAGCGTCGGTTTCCTCATCTATAAACGGAGAATTCCTACCGTTTAGGGCTGCGTGGAGCAGAACGCCAAACGCAGCAGCTCCAAGCAGAGGCAACTGGAGTGGAGGACGACAGACCGGGGTCGGAGGCTATTTCTGCCATGGGCTGGAGTCGAGTTTCTCATCAGTGAGAGCTCCAAACCCCCGACTCACGCTGGGTCACGCAGCCTTTCCCCCGATGCGTCACACACGTCAGCCTTTCTCCGGTTCCCTAGTTCCGTGGTCTCAGCAGACACAAGCCTACTCATCCCGCCGCGATCCTAAGAGAAGCGCCCCGGGGCTCAGCATCGACTCCCTGGAGGGAACGCAAGCCGACGCGGGCCTCCAAAGAGAAGACCTCCGCGCACGCGGTCAACAACCCCAGGCGCAGGGCGGGGTCCAGGCGGCCCTGTTCCAATATGGAAGACCTGCGACTTCATGCTGCTCCAGGGTTCCCCCCTTCCCATTGGTTAGCTCGGAATCGGTTCTCCAATAACACGGATCTTTACTGGTCGAACAGGGCTGTTGCCGAAGTGATTGGTGCAGCAGCCATCGGGTGCGGCTCGCGGACTTTTCAAACATAACCGGGTTCCAGGAAGCGAAGGGGAAGGGCGGAAATAGCCAGCCCGGCGGGGGGGCGGGACTAAGGAGACCAAAGCCCGCATTGGTTCCTTTGAGAACTAAGGGCGGCCCGTAAACGCTTCTTTCTCGTGATTAGTCTGAGTCGGGAAAAGGAGGCGGGCAGTTACGCAGCTCAGTAGAAGCACTTGCTTCCATTGGTCAATCCCAGAGGAAGGCGGAGCGTCCATGGCGACTGATTGGTGTAAGAAGTGAGGTGGGAGGGACTCTAGGCCGGAGGTTTTGTTGTGAGGGTCGGTTGTCAAGCAGCGGCCAATCAGGGCAGAGGATGGAGGCAAGTGGGGGTCGCGCCTGGAGGGAAGCCTTGGCCTCCAGAGCTACAGCTGCAGGTAGAGTGGCCTTCAGGGTCTTGGAATCAAGGGAAGATGGGCCCGCGTCTTCGCCGAACCTGGAGGGGACACTCGAGTCGCCGGCAGAGGGCTCTCGGCCAGGGCAGGCTTGAGCCAGTTGCCCCTCAAGACAGAGGGGCAGAGAGACAGGCGAAACTGAGGGACCAGTAGCAAATTTGGGATGAGCGAGCAGGAGCGGTGTGTGGAGACCAGAGAGGGAAATCTAGAGGGCCGGAAGCAGAGCCGAGGGTGTGCGGAGGACCGTATTGACCTGGGGCTCCAGAAACAGGGGAGCGAATGAATGGGGGACTCTGATAGCAGCGGGGAAAGAGAAGTAAAGAGGGTCTGGCGAGGCGTGGCCAACTTAGGGAGCTCAAGATGTGTCTGAGAGGGAGCACAGGCGAAGGAGAAAAAGAATACAGCTAGAGGGCTCCTAGGCAAGAGGTGAAGGGCTGAGGCTGTGGAGGCTCTATCCATGTTCTGGCCTTTTAGAATTGAGTCATTCCGACTCACACCTGGACTGGTGTGAGTTCCTGGCTCTTGAGAGTTGTAGGGGGTGGGCGTGGTTCCCCTACCAGGAGCTGGGGAAGGTGGAAGCAAGAAGATTGGATCCTCAGGGTCCTGCCGAAAATCACTCCTCCCCCGGAAGGCCTTTACTGACAGTCTAGTCTCTCTTCACTCTGTTTCTCTGTCTGTCTGTCTCTCAACCTATCTCTGTGTCTTTGTGTGTGTGTCTCTGCCTTTTGGGTGCCTCTCATGGGCCCCTAATCGTAGCGCACCATCCAATACAAGAGGTGCAAATCTGTATGAACTGCAGACACGTGGGCCTTCCTCTGCTGCAGGTGCTGGCACTTAAGACAACCAGCATCCTGGACTACCGCTCTAGGCCTCTAGGAAGTTAATCTCTCTCTCTCTCTCTCTCTCTCTCTCTCTCTCTCTCTCTCTCTCTCTGTGTGTGTGTGTGTGTGTGTGTGTGTGTGTGTGTCTTCCTCTTTTTCTCTACCTCCTCCTCCTCAAGATAGGGATCTCTCATTATGTAGACCAGACTGGCTTGAACTGACGGAGATCCCCCTGTCTCTGCCGGGCTTCTAAGTGCTGGGGTTAGAGACGTGCTGCCTACAGGCCCAGCTACTTAGGAAAGGTCTTTCATCTTTGGGATCTAAGTCACAGGGGTGTTCCTTCCTGGTCAGGTTTTCAGAGCCAGTGTGCTTTCATTGCAGGCCCTGGGGGCTTGGGTGGGTCTGTATCAAGTGACCTTGGTGACCCAGGGAACTACAACTCCTCTCAAGCACTTCCTAATGCACCTTCACCTCTGCTTGTATTCTAGCCCAGTGTTGAACTGAGATGGCCCAAGCCTGACATTCCATGATCTGGGATCCTGACCTATGCGTACAGGCTGCTGCTTTGTAGCAGATGATCTAAACCACCAGGCAGTCCTGAGCCAGGAGAGGAGGACTCTCTGCCTGGATGTGTGGGAACTCCCTGCCAACTTGATTGTCGGATCTGGGGGGGATCCACCCCCACCCCACAGAGAATACACTATCTGTTTTGTGGGTGGGGTCTCAGGTGCCACCCCCTGAAGCATGGCCACCCCTGTGGTCACCAAGACTGCCTGGAAGTTGCGTAAGTATTAACCATTTTTCTTTATCACACTGTTGTTTTGGGAGCTGCTCGTCGATGGATAGTCTGAACCCTTCCCTCTGTCTCTTCTTCTTGGCACAAGGGTGACTCACTGTCCTTGGACAGGTGGCTTAATCCTTCTGAGGCTGAGTTTCCTTCCCTGTGCAGCAAAATAATTGCACCTATACATATGCTCTGTGGTTGCTCTGAGATCAAGTGAGATCTCAACAGTAAAGCAATTTGTAAAGGATTTTCAGTTGGGCTGATGGGCAGTGTTTTGAGAAGGGCTAAAGGGTGTTCTAGGAATCTCAGACCTGTTCCAAGTCCCCTTTCCTCCATCAGATGAAAGTCTCTTGGAATGGGAGTGAAAGGGAGGGTACTCAAAGATGCTGGCATAGCTCTGAAGTGTAATTGAACAAAACCAGTTGTGAATCCTTTAGTCTAAACTCTCTTATAGTTGTCTTTTCCTTGTTTTGAGATAAGGTGTCCCTAGAGCCTTGAATGCACTGAGATGTGGATCTGCCTCCCGCGTGCTGGATTAAAGGGCTGTGCCGCCACTCCTGGCTCTTTCATCTTTTATATTCTTAAAAATTATCGAGGACCCCAAAGGGCTTTCATTTATAAATGCTGTACTTATCCATACATGCTATGTTAAAAAAAAAAACAAAAACCTGACAGTAGTGATGATAGCATCACATGCTGTGTGTCTTCTTGAAGACTCCTCTGGAAAAAAAATGAGAGTACCAAAGGCCAATACCATCCGAGTATTTAAGATAATAGCTTTGTTCTTGTGGAGCCTCTAAAAGGCTCTTGGGATCCTTAGATTGTGTTTGGAGGAACTGCATCTCTAGTCGTGTCTTGTTGTCAATAGGTTTAGTGTGCTGTGCCTGGTCCCACTCTGCTGTAACTGTCCATGAGCAGATATGGAGACTTCAGACAAAGCTGTTTTCTGGGTCTCGGTTTCCTCGTTTGTGAAAGGAGAGATTGGGACTGTTTTCAGGTTCTCCAGAGCTCTGGGGTTCTGGGAGAACGCCGTTGACGGCACTCAAGAACGGTGTACTTTGGGCAGAGGAGCTTGGTACTCAGTAGCATTATGTGTCCAGTTCTCTAATGGCTCATCCTACCTGAGAGTAGAAGCAGATGCTGGCGAGCAGGAAAAGGCCCAAATAGCCAAGGTCACTGGATAGTGGGAGCTCAGCCTTGGGAGACCACAGGCAGGAATCAAAACCACATCCGTTTCCAGTTCTGCTCTAATTCTGAGTGTGTGTGTGTGTGTGTACACGTGTACGTGTGTACATACGGGCCCTTGCTTTGAATCACTGCACTACTGATGAGGGTAGAGGGTGAGTGAGCAGCAAGCACAAAGACCACGTAGCTGTCACACGTCAGCAAGGAGAAAGTGGTACCACGTACCCTAGTGAGTTCTGCAGGGACACAAGTCCACAAGACCCCTGTCATCAAAGACCCAAGCATCAAAGTCTTTAAGCGCAGGCAGTAATGTGATCAAGTGTGCTGGGGATCTGACAATTTCTTGTGTGCAGAGGTTTATGGGTATATAGCCTGAGGCCACACAGGCTGGGGCTTCTTGGGGCTCCAGGGTGTGGTGAGGATCTTTACCAGTGTGGGCTTGCTGAACCCTTTTGTATATTCCTCCTAGGATGTAAGACCTTAGCACCTGTGTGCAGACTAAGAGTGATTCCCAGCTTTGGCTGAGATGTGCCAGGCACTGCTGGGGCTTGGGTGGGCCTGGGAGAGGTGCTGTTGGCTTATGCAGGAGGGAGAGCACCAGCTGTCACCTGGCCTGCCAGGAGACACTGAAGAATTTGATCTGTTTGCATGAAAATCAAGTACCACGTGCGGGCCACTGCTGCTTGCTGCTGTCCAAGCCAAGCTAGAAAGGAGCCTTCTTTGAGGGCTTGTGCATCCCTTTTGCTGGTGCCTGTGCTGTGTCTTCCGGTCTGCAAGGCTCCCATCAGCCTCTGCTTAAAGGGGAGTCATCATACCCGTACTCCCCGCCTGCGACTCTTCCAGTTACAGGCCCTTCCCAGGATCCATCTGATCCCCTAGAGCCTGAAGGCAGGAAGCTCTGCTTCCACAGCAGTGCCAGGCCTAGGGCCGATGTCTTCTGTTACCCATTCATGGCTGGCTCTGGAGGCGGTCCTGAGGCTCGCTGAGGTGGGGCTCAGCCAGACCTTTCTCTCTTTGCCTGGGAAGAGTGCTATCCAAGGCAGATGCCCGGGGGTGGGGTGTCTCTGACTGCAGAAACAGGGTGGAGCCGTCAGAGTAGAATGCTCAGGAACAGCTGCATGGCCCTCCTATGTATGGACAGATATATAAGGGTTTATGGCTCAAGTTTCGGGCAGCTGTCCCCACGTGTGCAGGACAGGTCTGTGATTGCGATGAGAACTAGAGCAAGACCCTACTCCATTGGGTAGGTGTTCCAGTACCCAGACTGGAAGTATCTGGGCTTACAAGGAGCGCCCACCCTGCTTGTGCCAGCTGTGCCCTGCCAGGCCCTGCAGCGAGGTATCATTTGAGAAGTTGTGCATCTTTGGAAGTCCAAACTGTCTGGCTTTCCTGGACCTGTTTTCCAGTTTCTTTAAGGTCTGCAGTTCACATAAGAGCTACCCACGGCTGGGTAGAGTAGAACATGGGCTTGGGGTGGAGGGTGGGGGTTACCAACAGCCATGATGTCCTTCTCCATGTCACACAGGCCAGCCTCCAGCTCCTTTAGGGCATCTGCCTATTGGGGTTTCCCTTTGCCTGTGTGAGATACTTGCCCTCTCCTTTCTGCTTGTTCCCAGAGAAAGTTGGGGACCAAGACTGGTGGCCTGGAGGCCTAGTTTGCTTCTTGATTCTCTGCTGAGTTTGTTTTTTTCAGAACCCTGATA